TTCCTCATCTGGCATATTGCAACATCATTTTGGCTATGGAGAGGAGAACACTGGATTTTCTTCCCTCACAGCAATCTGCAGCATCCCATTCAGGAGGGTAAGTGTGCAGACTGCCCAGGGAATAATACATTCAAATGCTTGCTTCATGGAAGGAGGTATGCTATGCCCAAGAGAGTTGGCACTGTCCCCCTTGGAAAAAAACAGTTCTTCTCTTAACCCTCCTGGATACTGACTTGTCCCAAGTCGCCTGTATAAGGAAAGTTATAGGGCTAAATCCAGTATCTCTGTATCTGACAAGCGATTTGTCCCAATATCCACTTTCACAGTCTGAAGATGTAAGAAGGGAGCTTAGAATTCTGGACAGCTTGGGGACTGGCACCAGGGATGTAGAACTTTAACAACAGGCCTGGAAGGTCTCGTAAAACGCAGATTGCTGGGCTCCAATTTTGAGTATCTGATTAGGGCTGGGTTGGACCCTGAGAATTTGCATTTCTAAGTAACTTCCTAAGTCCTGCTGCTCCTGTGGGGATTGCATTTTGATGACCACTGAGTGATACAGGGGATACATGGAGAGACATGGGCCTTTCCCCCCCAACCTAATGTATTTCCATGTTGAAGGGGCCTTTCCATATAACCCTCGACTTTTACTAACAGTCTTACCTCTAGGAAAATCTACTTTAAAATTGGTCTCCTATTGGGGAAAAAATTCAAAGCAATGGCAAATTGCAAAATGTGGAGTGGTGAATATACTAAGGAAAACAATTACATTCAAAAGGTTGGTGTATGTGAAATTTTCTCCCCTACAACCCAGGAAAATAACTGCACTTTATTAATACAGAATAATCACATATTTACCTGCGCATGAGACTATCAACTCACTTTTTAATATAAAGAACATAATTATCACTGAAAAACAAAAATGTAGCAACAACATTATTTTTTAAGCATGGGTAATTTTCCTCTGGAAACTTGATATATATATAAATATATATATAAATAGATAAATAGATAGGTATAAAACAGCAATTTTAAATTACCCCCCCTTATACATTTACACTAAACCCAATGTATTTCCCACCATTTTGGAAACTGGAGGAGGTCTCTAAAGGAATTCCCACTAAAGTGTATTTTCACAATGTGCTAATTAAAACAGTGCAGTTGTTTTCCATTATGCATAGCAAACGTTTAAAAATAAGCTAAACAATCCTGAAGTAAATTAAATTGCTTACCTTTGAGCCTCGCTCATTAAAAATAATTTCAACATCTAAGATTTTACCAAATTGCTGCAAAGAAATAGAAATGTTTTATAAGCAAGAGAAATGGAATAAATCATATTATGCACATTGGTAATTGTACCCCAAGTCAGAGGTTTTTTTTCCTCTTTTATTATCAAGGATAGGCATTTTAAGTTGTTTTATCCTTAGAGAAGTGCTTGAACCAAGAGACTGGAACCACACACAGATTTCCATCTTGCTGGATACCCCACCAAGTGAGAGGGTGTAGCACTGGCCTGGGGCAAAATGCATGGTCAAGTGGTTAGTTCCACTTTCCTTTTTTTATGTGTGTGCAATAACTTTCCCAGGCACTGAGCAGCGAAGATGAAAACTGGTTGGTGTGTAAACTGATCCTCCTATGCTACTCTACTCCACTAGCTACTGGGAGAAACCTCCTGGAAGAGGTGTGGTTTTCATAATAAAATGTCCAGGTAGAATCTGATGATGAGGATTATGGCCCTTGGCCCCAGCATAAGCTAGAGGAACAGTGAGGCCACGGAAGAGAAGTCAAGTCCAAAGAGATAAAAGCAAGATCCTCCAGGTGGATATCCATCATAATCAAGACACCAGCGTAGCTGTGATTAGCCCTCGGGCTGAAATGTACTTCTCTCAAAATGATTCCTCATTTTGTTAAACAAACAAATAGATTTTAGACAATTAGCACGAATAGACTCTATAAGGGGTGAAAGCGACTTGACATATTTAGGCCCAGAAACATGGTTTCGGATTACAAATAGGGCAGCCAAATAACTCACGGATGCCCAGTTACATTTAAATTTCAAATTTTTCAGGATAATTACATCCCCTGCAATATTTAAGACATACCTATACTTAATAAAATATGTTATCTACAATTCAAATTCAACTGTTGTTATCTTATATTTGTCTTTATTTGCTAAATCTCATAGTCCTAGGGAGACGTGCACGTCAAACAATTTGTGATTCATACTTTTAAAAAAAGGGAACATGGACTTGGAATCAGAAGCATCTGATAGTCCAAAATCTTTTCCCCTTGATATTGGAGTCTCTTCCTTTTTCTTAGCTTGCATGAAGTACAGTGGGTATTTATTTATTTAACTTTTTGAGTGTGCAGGTGGGAGGGGGTTGTTGTGAAAGTATGCGACATGGCCCAGGAAAAGTATGACGGGAAATTTACCCTGATGCAGAATTAGGGCGAGTGCTTTTAGTGATTAAAAAAATAAATGGAACCACACGAAGTAGTATGTCCATCTTTTTTTCTTTTATTTTGAGCTTTTGTATTATTCCATTTGCTTTTGCAGCCTGGATTTTTATTGCGTCCTTTGTTGCCCTAAGAGATTCTGCATTCTGTCTTTTTCCCCAGGGTAGAAAGCATTAAGCAGCCTCCATGTTGCAGAGGACAGAGTGGCTGGGAGGGAAAGAAAAGGAACCAAAGATAAGAAGACAGAGAAGAGAAGACAGCTCCCCTGGCCACTATACACAGGATACCAGGGGGCCCTGAGAATAAGTGCGAAGAGGGTGCAACTAAGATTTGAGAACAAAATTATTTGAAACATACAGAGGCTATCCTCTGGAACATACAAATAAATCTACCTTCCCTGGAAAGGCAGAAAAAAAAACTATGCACACTCCAGTTGAAGAGAAAGAGCTCAAAACCTTGAAACAAAAGTAGTTTGATGAGAAAAAGGGAATCCAAAGCTATGTCATGGAAATGTGCCCATCCCCCAGGATACAGAGGCAGTCAGGGGACTGCGCCTTGAATTTGTCTTGTGGAGCGGACATGTTTCTCTTCTTCCCGGAGAAGTAGAAAGCTAGGAAGAAACAAAGAAGCAGTTGGGCTGGGAGAGGACAGGGGAGGTCTACAGTGCCAGCAGGAGAGATGGAAATACCAAGAAACTCATAGGTAACTCACCCTGCAATTGATGGACACTCTAATTTCCTTTTGGTCAAGAGAATGTTCTTCTATGGAGCATTTTCTGTGCCCTAGATTTGGGCAGAGAAAGTTGTTAAAAATAGAAGAAGAAAACTTCCAGGTTTGGGAAATGCAGGATTTGCCGTTGAAAGGGGAGTTGAGCTTCATAGTAAAAACTCCTCCCGTTTGTGAACTCCTCAGAAGCAGTGATTTTGATATAACCTCCTCAGAATATTCAGTCCACACAGATGCTATCATATTTATTTCAGGCCTGAGAGCATGAAAGCACACATATTTATGAGCGGGGAAGCTTGAAAAGGATTCCTTCCAAAACCATGAAGCAAATGTCATCTACGGAACATTCTCTAAGTAGTCAACATGAAAACACTCCCTTTAAAATAAGATCTGGTTGAAACAGAACCAACCAATCAAGAAGTAATCCTAGCATGTGTCATTCCCTAAATGAAACAATGACACCATATGCCCCGAAATGGTCTCAAATGTTTGCCTCTTTGGCAGTTGCTACTGGGTGGGTGATTCTCAGAGCCAGAGAAGCAAGCGAAGCAAACGGGCAAGAAGAATACTGGTGTGAGCCCCATTTCGAAGACAGTTGCATACTGTATTTATAGTATCAACAGTTTAATTGGGAAGTTTGGTACTAATGATGTAAACACAGCTGGCACACGTTCAGTTTAAACAGACACGGCTCGCTCGCAGACATTAACTCGCATTTGTCTGCTCAACACCCATGGTTAGCCGCGTTCCACAACAACTCCAAATCCACGCAAGGGATCTCAATAGCTGTATCAAGAACAAAATCCAGAAGCTTACAGGCATGCACTGGAGCAGGTACGTACCAGGCATTTTCAGACAGTCTCAGATCAAATAATATTTCCCTGAAAAACTGTGAACGATGTTCAACGGTTACAGCATAAAACATGAAAGTAAAGGTTAGTTCAAAGAGTGTACATGGAGGCTAAGAAAAGGCACCGTCTCAGTTTTCTTTGGGTTGGCTTCATGTCTGGAATGCAGAAGTTAGGAGGCACCAGGCCAGGTCCAAAAAAAAAATAAAAATAAAAATAAATAAAGCCTTCATTGCTTCTAACCGCACGGTGCATGGAACTTTGCCAGTAACACTAAAGGGGCAGACATCTCTGTTTTATTACAAAGAGGTGATCATGAAAGCTTCTTTTGCATGTTCTGAAAGTCATGTGGTCTGTTTCTGGGTGACAATTATGAGTGATTTCACTAGATCATGCATCATGCCTAGAGGGTTTGTATTTTGATAACAGAAGCAAGGCTGTGCTGTAAACAAGGGTATTGTGCACATTTGAATCCTATACTCCATGAGTAGTTATTTCTGAAAACAGTCCTGTGATACAATGTGTCCTGTCAGTGGTCTGGATATATCATAACCACCTCTCTCACTCACCTAGGTACCTGTACACTTCTAAAGGTAAGGTAAAGAATCATTCTGCTCAAGAGCAAGCCATTACAATCAATTTGGAGGAAATCCACACATTTCTTTCATGGGATCATCAAGATTTCAAACATAAAGAAAAGGCACTCTCACGAATGCTTCCTGAAATAAGGACAGAGCTCAAGACTGAAGTAGCCAGGCCAGAAGCAATATTTCTTACAGTGAAACACCCAGAACCAATGCCCCTGATCTGTTCCTTTCGGCCCCAACTGGTGTTTTAAAAAGACTCTGGTTCCACTGTGGCCAGGTAACTTCTTGACCAAAGACTGTTCTATGAAAGGGAAGGGGAGGGGAGGGGAGGGGAGGGGAGGGGAGGGGAGGAGAGGAGAGGAGAGGAAAGGAAAGGAAAGGAAAGGAAAGGAAAGGAAAGGAAAGGAAAGGAAAAGTAAAGAAAAGAAAAAAGAAAAGCAGGAAAGAAAGAAAGAAAGAAAGAAAGAAAGAAAGAAAGAAAGAAAGAAAGCCTGAACTTAGAAGATTTAATGCCAAACGCTAGAATAAATTCATCCAAAGGAGGAGGAAATAAAGAATGCCAAGTACCGAGTACATGGTGGGAAAAAGGTAACCAGAATCGTGATGAACGGGCCCTGAAGCCACAAATTAAAAACAAAATGTGAGCCTCTTGCAGTGACCATCAGGCCTGCAGAAGTTGCAAACTTCACGGCTGAATTACTAATGGTGGCAAAAGTTGTTTACGAACACGGCCAGGTTTTAGGCAGTTTGAGAAGAGAACTTCCTCTTTTGTCTTGTTTTGGTTTCAGTTTCAAATCCCCATGGCCCCATTTAACAAAAGAGACAAAGGAGAAAAGCCCAAAAATCTTGGAGAGGGTTTTTCTCTGCAATCACCCCCATTCTAGCTCCTGTTAAAGTGAAGGGACAAAGGGAAAATAGAGCAATAAAAGGCAAAAAGAGATCTCATGTCCAGCCGACTTGGAAAAGGCCTGAGTGGAATCAAAATGTGGTATCTTACAGTAACTATGACCGCAAAGAAACCACACTTAATTCTCTCAAGTGGAATGTGGGGAGCCAATCAGAATGTGTACAGATGCCTTTCAATGTGATTCAAGCCACCAAGCTTGTCGTATAACCAGGATGGGCTTACCACCACCAATGCTTGGCTGGGAACAACAGATTTTTAGCTTTGAAGTTCCGTTTTTCAGAACAGAGGTTGTAAACCAAAGAGGCCTCAGCATTATTACAAAGAATCCAGGAATCCGTATGTGCCTGAACATTTTTATAGCTGAAACTCCTAAAAAAAAAAAAAAATCTTGCGTACTTTTCAAATGAGCACAGATGCTGTTTGTGATGAGCAAAATTAATTTCAATATTACTGAAGGCATGCTGCATTTTCTTAATTGATACTAAGCGTATCTATCATCTTGTCAAGTCGACGACGTCTTGTCAGTTGCTTAAAATGTTTGACTTTTACAAACACTGGCTCTGAAACCAGTAGATTGTGATCAGAGTCTGACAACCGGTAGTGTGTTCAGTCTCTGGCAGGACTCAGCCCTGCACCGCTTGCCCTGGCCCCGGGAAGACACAGAGGCTCAGATACCCATGCAAGCAGGATGCCTTCTTTGGGAGTTCCAGCTGTGGATTTTTCCAATACGTCTCTGACTTGGCTGTGTGGTCCTCTGGTGACTTTTAAGATAACAGAGAAGACCAGGGAGGGAAGTGCACCCGCAGGGGGGCCGCTGCAGTGAGTGACACTCTAAAAGACCACCAGGATGGTCATTAAGAGGGCCAGATTCAAAGCCAACATCCCAGTGACACCTGACGAGGGAAGATGGACCACAGAGCAAGACTTTCTAACCTGACGTGGCAAAAGGAATCTAATTCCTCTGGCTGCCATCATTCAAACCTGGTCGCACTGCTTTACACACACTTAACCTCCACTTTCACTTTGAATGCTCTGCACTTTTCAAAGTCATCTTTGACCTGAGAGTGCCCGAGGGTATCTCCACTCGGCAAGAGTTAGAGGGCTCAACTCAAGGTTATTACCAAACGAGGAAGATAAAAGTGCAGAAGCTGACCTTTTCCTCTGAAATGTCAGGATTCAAGTCTGGGTATCTGAATATGAGGACGCTTGCTCTGTCTTTGTGTCAGATGCATACTTGATAAACATCATGCATGTTAAAGAAATAAAAGGTGCAAGCAAGCTAACCCCACAGTCGCAGAGTGATGAGCCAGCGCTCCCCTTTACATGAGGGGGGGAGGTGAGGTCTACTCTGCCCGGGGTTAGGCATTACAGTTTGCCTTCTTCTTATTCCTTCTGTAACATTTGCATCCATCCACGGACTCTTAGAAGAAGAAACTCCAAGCAGCCAACCTTCCCTCTAAGTCAAATGCTAAGGGTGTGGTTCTGTTCATGGAATCCACAGATACCTCCCGTCAATACTGGGATGGATGTCATGAACAAACAGGCTGAGTACGTTTGCAAAAACAACAACAACAACGACAATGACAACAACAAGCGAAGGATATCTAAGCCCTGTCAGAATTTTATCCTTTGGTGGAACTGAGCCCAAAGACATGGCTAACTCATTCCTTCTCAAGGTGGACACTGCGACATTTCGTCCAGGAAAAGAATCACAGTCATGGCGTCCTACAAGGAAGCAACCCTATCATTTATTTTCTCTAGGTTGGTCGTGGCTTCCGCCCTGCTCTGCATTTCCATCATGGTGCCTTGGAAAGGCACCTCTGTGGGGGTAACATCGCCGTAAGAACCTCTGAATCCTCACCACCAACTCCAGGAGAATGTATGTATATGGCAGGATGCAAGTCAGATTTAGATGTCTTTAGCTTTTTTTTTTTTTTTTTTTTTTTTTTTTTTGGTTTTGCTTTTTAATGAAGTTTTAGGCAGAACTAATTATTCTCTAAAGCTGCATCTGAAATCCAAATGCACAGTGCCTGGGAAAGAGTGAGGTATATGCAGGAAAATGTCATGATAACTTGTCAACTACAATAGACAGAAGAACCAAAAAGACACAAAATGTTTATTTCAGCCGTGATGTAGGGTCCCGGGCCACTTGATTTGGGACCATCAGTGAGATTCTTTCAATGCTATTTTATCTGGGAGTTCATTTTCCTTCTGACTTTCCCGTTCCTAATTAGAAGAACACCATTTGGCCAAGTGGGAACACGGTGAACACATACAAAGAAATGGATACTGAAATCGTGAAGAGATTCTGGCCAAAATACAGCTACAGACTAGGATCTAAAATGCCTTTCTTTTCCCCTCTGTCCACATCTCACCTTCGGAACTTACATGAAGAGAGGGCTCTGGGGACCCCACAGCAGGCACCGCAGAGGAGAAACGCACTACTTACGCCAAACATTTGTCGGAGGTCCGGATCTCGGAACCGGAAGGGGATGTTGGAGACATGCAGCCGTTTGGGCTGGGACTTGTTTTCTGAGTTTTCAGAAGGTTGTGTCTGGGGCTGGCCATCCGTCGGTGCTGCGTCATCTGTCTGCTAAAAGGACAAGAGTAAAGAGGCTCTGAGTGGACCTACGTGCTGTCTCCAAACTGCTTTTGCTTCCCCTAAATGGTAGGAAAGTGCTGGAACAAAGGAACAAAGACAAGGAAAGAAGTGCTGGGTCATTCATTCATTCAACATTTCTGAAGACCCCCTGAGAGCGTAACATGGATCTGGGACTCACTAGCAAGAAAGGCGGACAAAACTCCCTGCCTTCGTGGAGCGCACTTCTTATGCTGGGGGTGGGGGGCAGGAAAGGCAATGAGCTCATTAACAATGAAATATGCAGCGGGTAGAAAGAGAGCGCCAGGAAGAAAAATAAAGCAAGGGGATGGGTGGCTGGTGTGGAGGTATTGGGGGAGTTTTAATAATTAGGCAGAGAAAACCTCATCGCTGAAGCTAGGAGAGGGTGTATCCCTTGATCAAAGGTGTCCAAAATCTTAAAACATCGCCTACCTAATTGTTGAGAGGGTGAAGATAAAATATTAGCAAATGTAATAAAACATTTGGAAAGGTTGTTCGGTGCTCTGCAGTCTAAGTAAGCATCTGATTGACTTAATTTATTATTGAGGCTTTAACTTCTCGTTTTTTGATTGTGCAACTCTATCGTGTCCGTTACAGCTGACCCCGTGTGGCTAGTTAAATCTGAATGAATTAAGATTAAATAAAATGTAAAATGCAGCTTTTCATTGACATTAGCCACATTTCAAGTACTCGATAGCCACATGGGGCTAGTGGTTTCCATGTCGGACGGTGCAGGTTTAAAGCATCTCCAGCACGGCAAGACATTCTGTGGACCATGTTGGTGTAGATAAGGTTACATTATTAGCATAACTCGTTACTCTGCTTCCCGTTCGTGCCAAAATGAGTCTGCACAACATGATATTACATCGGCACCTGGATGTGGGTAGGAACCAGGAGAAAAGTCACGGTAACATTTGGTATCCTGATAGCCATGACGGGTATGGGTACTCTTGGTTCTAGAGATGCTTCTAGAAACTTTCTCTGCAATTAGCATCTCTTGCCTCTGGGTGGCAGTGGACGCCATTCACATCAGTCAGTTGCTTCTCCAAAACCATGATGGAAAACCTATGTGGAAGCCCATCAAATTGATGAGCAAGGAACCAGCCTCACCTACTTATAAACAGTTTAGAAGCATATTAACTGGGATGAAACTATCAATGCAGTCAGCCAGGTGTAAAATAATAAAGACACAGAGAAGGAAACAATTTCACAAAGTGAAATATGTATTTTTATATATTAAAAAATATGTATGTTTATTTTATATACATAAGTGTTTTATATATGCCATACATATACATTTTGATATATGTTTATCAAAATAGATATATAATATATATAATATATATTATATATGTATTATATTATATATATATTATATATATATATATATATCAAAATAACATGGGCATAATTTGTGACTGTCTTGTCAGTACGTATGTTTATTGGCAGACTTCATTTCCATTCTCCTTACTGATACATCCTGAATGGCATTCTGATGCTTTAAAAAAACTTTTATTATTATATTTTTAGCGGGGGGAGGGGCAGAAGGGGAGGAAGAGAGAATCCCAAGCAGGCTCCACTCCCAAAGTGGAGCCCAACTCAGGGCTGATGCCATGACTGTGAGATAGTGACCTGAGCCGAAATCAAGAGTCGGATGCTTAATCCACTGAGCCGCCCAGACGCCCCCCTGAATTGCATTCTGAAAGCAAGACCTTCCCAGGGGCCGGCAGAAGACTGTTCCAAGCTGGTTTGGTATCTAAGGCCCCCCTGGATGACTTCTTCAACCTTGAAGTGCTATGTCATGTCAACAACAACAATGCACTTGGTCATTCTGTCTATGCTGTTGGAGTGAATAGGCAGGGGGATGGTGATAGTCCTCTAACCTGGAAAACAAGTATTAATAATAATGCACACCTTCTAAGGCTCTGCAGGGACTGACTGCAATCGCATATGCCAACCTGGCAGAGTTCTTGTCACATGGCATATGGTCAGTAACTGGAAAGCAATGAATGTTTTAGAGTTATGGAGATTGTTTTTTTTTAATGTCAAAACGAGGAGTGAAAAACCCTCTCTCAGGTAAAGGAAAGGTTCTCATGGCTCCTTATACATGTTTTTACTGAGCAACTACTAGACACTGGATCTGTAAGTCAGGCCTCCAAACACATTCAGTTTCCAGTTCAGAGGAAGAGAAAGAGGGTAGAAAAAGACAGTTGCAAGGCTGGGATCACAGGGAATCATAGAGGGCTGCGTAAACTTGAATCAGGGACACGCTGCAGGGCTGGATGCCTGAAGAGGCTTGCCAGTTCTGGGGGGTTATGTTTTGAGTGGGAGGTGTCTAACAGAACAGACGAAGGGGGCGGATGCTGTACCTGCAGTGTGCAAAGCACATGCAAAGACGCAAAGGTGAAATCATGTTCTGGATTCGGGGGCTTCCGCGTGTGATCACTGGTCAGTGCAGGTCATGTGAAGGAAGGATGGAACGATACACTGTGGAGGTAGTGGCGGTTGGGTTACGAATGGCCCTATGTGTAGAGCAAGAGTATATATTTCATCATAAAAACTGTGACGAGCCACCTATGATCATCGCGGGGCATAATGTGATCAGCACAGGACGCCAGAGCTGAGCTATGGCCGACAAAAGATACATGCAGGTTGAATGGCTGGCTGAATCACTGACTGAACAGCGGAAGGGATTACAAGTGTATCAATAAAGTAACGAGTGAAGGAGCAAACCGTCTGCTTGGCACCTTCAAGGGAGTCAAAACGCAGTCTTATAACAGTGAGGCCCAAACAGAGCACGAATGTTTGCTCTGCTGGTAATAGGAGGTTTGGTTACACAACAAAGCCAGCGACATGTCCTTGAACCACATGGTTGGGGTCTTAGTACTCTAACCTAAGAAGCTCTGTCAGCACAAGCAGCTGCTGAGATCCTGAACCTGCAGCTCTAGATTCTTTCCTCTGGAAAGAAGTTGCTGTTCAAATGCAAATTAAAACAAATTCCTTCTCATCCCAAGAAAGAAACTTAGATTTGGATTTGTACAGAACGGCTGGATGTTTCAGCTTAATAAACCTAATTAGGAATTACAGAGATTATGATTAAACATATTAAATGATTAATAGCATTATGCCGCTCATGTGAAAATTAAAATTAATCATCTTTAGTCAAACAGGACTTTGGAGAAATCTTTTGCGTTGTTCCCTTTGATAAAAAACATACAACGCTCAATTAATCATTTTGTAGTGTGGGCATGTATACAAATGCTCATCAATTGTTATGTCGGGATACCTGTGTATTAAAGGTAATTTTTAAAGATAACATGTAAAATGGAAAACAAACCAACAGTGTTTCAGATACTGTGGGTGGATGGAGAGGAGAGGGAAGAGGATGACATCAGGATCCAGAGGCCGAGAAAGAAAAACGGATCTGTGAGCTCCAGCACGCCTGCTTACATGTTGGGACGTAACACAAGTGGGCCAAACGAGACCGGGGCTGTGCAAAATGGCTACTCCGGAACCCGGGGCACGGTCGGGGTGAGGCCTTCCAGAGTGGTCCTCACCGACTCTCAAGGTGAGTAGGTCAGGATGAGGGCCTTCCCCTTCCTTTCTCCTGGGAACTTTCATGGAAAACATACTCAGGACAAGCCTGAGTTTGAGGTCGTTGTAGTCTCCTAGGAAATTACCACAAATGTGGTGGCTGAAAGCAACAGCAATGTACTCCCTCATGGTTGTAGGGGCCAGACATCTACAGTGAGGGTGCTCTTAGGACCTCACTCCCTCGGGAGGCTCTGCGGGAAGGCCCATCTCTACCTCTTCCAGCTTCTGGTGGCCTCTTGGCTTGGAGTTGCCTTTCCCCAGTCTGTCTCTGTGTTCATACGGCCTTCTTCCCTCTGTGTGTCTGAGACTCCCATCTCTGTCTGCCTTTTTCTTCTTTATAAGGACATTAGGCACTGGGTTTAAGGCTCACCCTAGATCTTGGCTTGGGATCCTTAACTTAATTACATCTGCAAGGACCCTTTGTCCAAATAAGGCCACGTTCATGGGTTTACAAGGGTCAGGACATGGACATATCTTTTGAAGGCCACACTCAACCCACTACAACCCTTTATTAAACAAGAAAACAAACTGGAAGCACATGTAGGATGGGTAGCTATAGTCAAGGAGGAGATTCATTTTCTACCACTTAAGGTGGCCTGAGGTTCTCCAAAGGGTTGGCCCCACACCAGGTCCAGAAGAATAGAGAATGTCTCTGCCTGAGCTGTCCCAGGTTCCCATCTGTCACCCTGGGAACTTTAATGAGTTCCCTAAATAGAGGAGACTGCAATCTTCCCTTTGCCAGCCTGGGCGCCCTGGCCGCCATTCCATGTACCCTGGAGGTACTGACGCCCTTCAGCAGGACTGAGACGCACTCCACCAGCCTCCTGAGAGGCAGCCGATACTCCAAAAACAAGGACAGGCCTGCCAGTTCCCTGAGCCTAGTGCTGTACTTCACACAGATGGCGAAAGCGGTCATGGCATCCCTGAGAAGGTCGGTGAAGCTTACGGCGAACGCCCAGAGTGAAACTTCTACCGACAAAAATAAAATAACGTAGAAATTCTAAGAAGGTTGCGCAGGGAACTGCACATCTAGAACGCGTATTCCCCAAAGTCAGGGGCTCCCTGCTAGGGAGCTACATCCCCTGAGGCTGGTGCCTGGCAAGGCTTCCTTGGAATTAATTGCTCGAAGAAGAACTCTTGATTTATCCCTGATTTTTTTTCCTAAGTATCATTTTAGCTCTAAGTGGGACGCAGCTGAACTGGAAAGATACCTCATAACCATGTTTCGGAGATCAGAAGATAGAACATAAAGACCAAGCAAATTACTGCTGATCTGCTCGCTCAGAGATGAGAGGAATTTGAGAAAACAAAGGATGTTCGAGGCAGAAGGAGAACAGCCAGGGCACTTGCCCTCTCTGAACCCTCTAGCCCAGGCCCTC